TCAGCTTTCCACTGTCTTCTTTGTCTCCTTCCTTTTCTACTTCCCATCCCACTCTACTCTGGACATTAAGGGAAGATTGGGGCACTCAGAAGGAGATGGGAGCCACAGTCTTCCTGCAAGTCAGGGTCCATGCTCAGAATCTTCCTTCTTTCCACTCCCAAGACAGACAAGAGTTCATTGATTGGCCCTCTTCCAGTCAGGGAAATTTTCTAAAGTGTTATAAACCATCCAGCTAGAGAAAAGAAGAAAGGAAAGAAAAGATAAAAGGAAGAAGAGAAACAGAGTTGAAGAAAGGAAGGAAGAAAGAAAGAGAAGAAGCTCCTATGTTGTCTTCTGTTTACTGAGGAATTAAGGATAAGAAATCTTATAAGTGTAGAAAGCCAATATATTTTAAGGTTAGAAATTTTAATTAAAGAAAAGGAATAAAAACCCTATCTTACTTTTTTGGTTTGTGTTTCTTCCTGAGGAGGGTGAGGGAGCAGCAAAATCTAACAGACATCAGGTACTCATAATCTCAATTATTCTCTCTAGCAGATGCTTGAGAAGCATTTAGGTCTCTTGGTTACTGTGTATAATAAACCTCTTCCCAGGGATCACACGATATATCTGTTCTCAAATTTGATTGTTCACGTAATTTCCCAAGGAGACTTAGGGAAGTTTTCAAAATGTACATCTCTACCCACCTCCCTCCATTCCTCCCTCAAAGTATGTATTCATGGGTCTAAAAACAGAACTATTTTGTTACTGTGTTTTGAAAGATCCCCAGGTGATCCTGATGATCAGTTGGGTTTGAGAACCACTGTTATAAACACACTTTATTATAGATGTATTCTGTACTTTAATGAAAGCAGACTGGTTTACAGTGTTATGTGGCTTCTCAAATATGCTTTACTTCTCTAGTGTAATCTGATGCCTTATACAAAAAGTGTTTACTAAACAGTCAAAGAAGGATGCCTATCTCTTAGATAAAACTTATACAAATTGGAAAAATAGGTATGGCTTTTTGAGAGAAGACTGAATTGTGAAATAGTGCTAATATGATGGAGAAAGGGAAGGAAAAACATACTATAAATCTAACATGAATATTAAGCCAATGATAAATTCCAACTCCCTTATAGCTGTACACATTTAAAAATTTTGTTTCTTTTGAAAACAGGTCAAATATGTTGAAGATTATATCCCAAAGGGCAAAATGGTAATTGTTAAATAATGACATAATTACACATGAATGAGTCATGTTAGAAAACCTAGTTTTCTTAAAAAAAATTAAAATTGGTATAATCTCGATAATGCCATTGAGTTTCAAGTGAGCATACTAGATATTAGAAGTACTTCCCGCTTCTACTTCAGAATTTCTTTGGTTTCAATTAATTACTATTTAATTAGTTATGCAACAAACAAGATAAAGGACAAGGCTGAAGGGTTATATCATTCATTACAAAAATTATAAATTAATTTTGCATTATGTACAAATAAGTTGCATAATGCTAGGGGTAATTAAAAAATGAATGATGCTAATAGCAAACATTTATGTAGCTCTTACTAGGTGCCAAAAACTGTTTTAAACACTTTAAGTGTATTACCTCATTTTAATATTACAATCCTAAGGGGTAGGTTGTTATTATCATGAACACTTTACAGATAAGGATGCTTAAGCACGGTATGGTTAAGGAACTTGAGCAAGGACACAGAGCTAATAAGTGGGGAATCTGAGATTTGAACCTATGTGGCCTGGCTCCAAAGTCTGTGCTCTTACTCAGAGTACTATGATGCCTTTTTTCAAGGAGATTGCAGGTTATGAGACACAAACAATAGTACATGAACACAAATAATACAAGGCAGTATATTAATTCATTCAGCAAATATTTTTAAAGAATAGGAATCATGAGAAATCTAGGTAAAGATCTGCTTAAGAACACAAATTTTAGTTAAAACATTTTGGAATAAATGTTTCCTTATATAATTTAAAAGTTTTATTAGTTAAAAATAAGATTAGAAAGAATAAATTTCATTATATGACTGAAAACAAATCAGTCATAATTTTCATAGAATGAATGATAACATGGTTTCGCAAGCCAAGTTTTGCTGCACTTGGTTTCAAGGGAGGGAAATTAGGGAAATTGTTATCCTAGCCCCACTTACCCTAGAGCTACAGAAACTTTTAATATCATTCCTGATGTCTCAAGCCACAACAGTAAAATGTCCAACCTTAATGACCAATGCATTTTCTGAGGATAGACTGTACATTTCTGTTCACTTTTGAAGAGCTAAGGGAGACTTAAATGTCCATTACAAGTACTGCCTTTTACCATTAGCCGTTCATTTAGAATTGGTGACTTGATAAGTATGTCCGATGTTATTCAGAGCTGACAAACGATGATGAGGGTATGCAGCTTTATCAGAAGTTACCATGAATTCAGGATCTGCCCCAACAAAAATACGGTGTCCCTTTTTACACAGACATAATCACTTAGGGACAAACATTAATTTGCATACTCAAAACCTTTTTATTTCATTCCAGTGGTTTCAGATAAGAGTCATGCCATAGAAGAATCCATATATAGAACACATATAATCACCTTTACCTAACTTCAGTCTCTAAATAAAGCAATGTTAATAAAAAACATACAGCCTACATCTGGGATCTTTTTCTTTCTGACTTAAGAATATCCTTTAAAGTTTTCTTTAGTGTAGGTCTGCTGATGGCAAATTCTTCAGATTTATTTACTTGAAAATGTCTTTATTATACCTTTGTCTTGAGCGATTTTTACTGGATGTAGAATTCTAGGTTGGTAGGTGTCTTCTTTCACACACTGAATATCTAATTCCACGGACTTCTGGCTTCCATTGTTTCATTGACAAACTGGCTGTCAGGCTAATTGACAATGTTTTCAATCGTTCTTCTTTTAAGAATCCTTCTTTCAGGGAAAAGACAGTCTCTTCAATAAATGATGTTACGAAAACTGGATATCCACATGCAGAAGAATGAAATTGGGCCCTTACCTCCTCACACCATATACAAAAAACAACTCAAAATGGGTTAAAGACTTAAATGTTAAGACCTGAAACTGTAAAGTTATTAGAAGAAAACAAGGAAAAAACTCCACAAAATTGGTCTGGACAATGATTTTTTGGATACAATCCCCAAAGCACAGGCAACAAAAAGAAAAATAGATTAACGGGACTGCATCAAACTAAAAAGCTCTGCACAATAAAGAAAACAACAGAGTGAAGACTGTGGATTGGGAAAAAAATATTTGCCAACCAACAAATGTGTTGGGTTAATCCAAAATATACGAAGAACTCAAACAACTCAATAGCAGAAAATAACCCATTTAAAAATAGGCAAAGGATCTGACTAGACATTTGTTGAAAGAAGATATACAAATGGCCAACAACTATATGAAAACATGCTCACCATGATTAATCATCAGGGAGATATATATTAAAACCATGATAAAATATGCCTTTTAGAATTCCTATTATCAAAAAGGCAAAAAGATAACAAGTGTTGGTGAGGATGTGGAGAAAAGGGAATCCTGGTAACACTGTTGGTAGAAATGTAAATCAGAACAGCCATTATGGAAAAACAATGTCAAGATTCCTCAGAAAACTAAATACAGAACTACTCTATGATCCAGCAATCCCACTACTGGGTATACAGACTGTCCCCGACTTAACAATGGCTTGACTTTATAATGGGTTTATCAGAGTATTAAATGCATTTTCAACTTAAGATATTTTTCACTTATGACGGGTTTGTTGGGATATAACTCCATCTTAAGCCAAGGAGCACCTGTATATCCAAGGGAATTGAAATTAGTATACTGAAGAAACATCTGCACTCCCATCTTCATTGCATCATTATTCACAATAGCCAAAATATGGAATCAACCTGACTGTCCATCAACAAATGAGTGGATAAAGAAAATGCAATATATATACACGATGAAATACTATTCAGCCTCAAAAAAGAAGAAAATTTTCTCATTTGCAACAACATGGATGAACCTGAAGGACATTATGCTAAATGAAATAAGCAACACATGAAAAGACAAATACTGCATGATCTCACTTATATGTGGAGTTTAAAAATGTTAAACTCATAGAAGTAGAGAGTAGAATGGTGGTTACCAGAGGTAAGGGGTGGGAGGTTGGGAAGATGTTAGTAAAAGGGTACAAAGTTTCAGCTAAGCAGGAGAAATACATTTTTGAAATCTATTGCACAGCGTGGAGACTCTAGTTAATAATAATGTAATGAGTATTGTAAAATTAAGTGAACAGATTTTATGTGAGGTGATGGTTATGTTAATTAGTTTGATTTAATCATTCCATAATGTATAAAATATCAAAACTTTACATTGTATCCCATAAATATATACAGTTATTATTTGGCAATAATAATAATAAAAAAAGAAACTGATGGTTTAAAGGGAAAAAAAACAATCCTTTATATTTTACTTACTTTCAACAGTTTTACTATGTTGTACCAAGGTGTGATTATCTCACCACCAGCAGGGGTCAAAGGATCAGACACAAATGGCTTTAATCTAGCCCTAAGTTAGTTAGCTTTATAGAAGAATATAGGATAGAAAATTCAGCATGCACAGTATCTTCAAACTCGTCAGGATGCCAAGCAACCAATCACATGAATAGTTCTTGGACCTCTCTCCACCCATGCAAAGAGTACACACTGTTGCCAGAGACAGTTAAGGTATATGTGGTTCACTTAAATACAGAGATGTGCCTTGGTTTCTTTCCAGTCTTACACTATTCAATTTGCACAGATGTGAGGCTACTATGCCAAGTCACAGTTCTCTCAGTGCAGATGCAATACCACAGATGGGGTTTCAAAGTAAATTTATTATTATTATTTTTTATTTTTATTTTTTTTCCTTTTTGTCTTTTTTCATGACCGGCAACGGGATCGCAACCCTCGGTGTCGCGCCTGCACCGCGCTCTACCAGTGAGCGGACCGGTCTCTATATGGGATCCGAACCCTCGGCGGGAGCGCCGCCGCACTCTACCAAGTGCGCCACCGGGCCGGCCCTCAAAGTAAATTTAAGAGATAACCAGCCCCTAGCACATAACATTCCATATTCGTCTTAACTCAGTATATTCCCAAGGAAATAATGCCATGAGCAGACAGACCCAAGGCCAGATTTTTTTTCAGGCAGGCCTAGGTCTGTTCAAGTCCAGGAATGATGTTCAACCTTTACTAACATTGCAGATTTCAAGTCATTCATTCTCTGCAATTCAAAGGTTTACTGAATTTCTGGCTTGATGTATTTCATTAACTCCGTATAGTCCTCAAATAATCCCTTCTAATATTTGCTCCTGCTATATTATTTCTCTTCTCTCCCTTTAGGTCTCCTGCTAAATAAGTCAAATGCTTTTACTTGACCCTCCTTTTCCATATTTCTTAAAATCATTTTTGTCTCTCTATGCTTCCATCTGTATAATTTCTCCTAATTTACCTCTCAGTTCATTAATTCTTTTTTCTACTTTGTCTTCCATTCAACCCATCCACTGAATTCTTAATTTTGATGATTATATTTTTTCAGCTCTAGGATTTTCATTTTTAAAATAGTTTCCAGTTCCCAGTTAAAATGCTCAATCTTGTCTTTCATCTTGTAAGCACGGTTACTTTCAAGCTATGTCGATAACTCCAATATCCAAAGCTGCTGTGATTCTGTTTCTCCTATCTGTTGCTTATGCTGGTTTCACTCATGCTATCTTGTCTTTTCCTATGTTTGTTTATTTGTGATTGTGCCCTAGTAATTGTATTTGGAAAACTGAGAAAATAAATGAAGTCCTTAGATGATGTTATTATCTTTTTTCAGAATGAATTCAAGTTTGCTAGCTGTGGACACTGGCAATTCAGTGTCACCTCAATTCAGTTTCAGGGATTGATATGATTAGAGTTGAGTGGCAATCACTGTGAAGACTTATCTTCAACCGGATTACCCTAGATTACATCCCTTTGGGGATCTAAAACAAAGTGAGTCACTCTCATGCAGTGATAGGCACTGGACTCCAATTCCTGTGACCCTGTGAAGCTGCCATTAGTGCTTTCAGCCCACCCCACCAAAATTGGCAAATGCTCCCAGGGGAAAAGTAGACTCAAAAGCCAAGGCTCTCATTCCTAGTCTGGTAATTCTTTTCTGTCTTGTTTGCTTTCCAATGCCTTCAAACAGGTTTTTGTTTTTAAAATACATATACTTTGTCCAACTTTTCTAATTCTACTTAGAGAACAAAAACAACCAAGTAAGCACATAAAAAGCTATTTTTAGGAAGTTGACACTAACAACTAATGTTTACATAAATCAAGATAGTAAAAAGCATTATTTCTTCATATAACTTATGGAAGAACTTATACATTAAAATGTATGAATAAGTGAAAATTTGAGGAAGCTTTTTTCATAACCTAATAATGTAACTTTCTTGTCAAGAAATTAAATATGTTTAAATATCTTATAGAAATGTATTTTATAGCGAGCAATTCTACACTGAAAAAGTATTTAATTAGGGCACGTATAGGCTACTCTCCTTTACCTACATCGATTTTTTTTTTCTTATTATTAAAATACTAGCTCAGCTGAGTATTTATTGAGCACATACTGCATATGATCACTAAGGAAAATGAGACACAGTGTGTGTACTCTGGAGGAATTTCCAGACTTATAGGAGAGACATAAAGAGACAATGTGATAATGGCTATAAGCGAGTACATACAAGATGTTATAGGTCCATAGGAGGAACACCATGTCAGCATGACATTGTTCCATTAGTGACATTTCAACTATTACTTTAATGCCTATTTTCTTTGGTGATACAATACTAAGCAAAAAAGAAAATACACATCACACATGCCAACTTATACTTTAAAGTAAAAAACAAAAAAATGCTGTGTATACATAAAGTATTATATGAGACACCAAGGTGAAAAAACTGATATGAAAACTTACCCCATCTGGTAGTGCCCGCCAGCACACAGCACTAACAAATTCATTTGTATCATCTTCTTTTCTGTCTTTGTCCAGAACACTTTTGACCGTATCAAATTTAAAAGTTAGCAAAGTCTTAGAAAGTCCTTTATAGTACAGATAAAGGGAGTTGTTCTCACTTCCTAAAAATAAATAATAATAATTTTTTTTAGAATGGGAGAACTTGGTATTAGGACATCACATTCAGACAATAATTATCTCCCAAAGTTTTAGCTCAAAGATCAATAATCTTCTAGGGTCAAATTTGTAAAGCTAGGTCACAGTACCAATTGGAAATCATGTGAGAAAAGGATTCTTGGACTAAAGCTATACTTTACTAATCCAAACAATCAATGTTAAATGGTAAAACAATACTGATAATTCTAAAGTTACAATTATCATAAAAAAATCACTTATAGCAGAGGTCTATAGTAGAATCACAAATATGTTATTATAGCAAGAATTTTAAATTACATTTGGAAAGATTTCTATCTAGAGAAGAAAAAGAAAGTGTCAGCACTTACACAGGCAAATTTTAATAGCCTACATAATTCATTTCCCATTCCCCAATAAAGGCATTACTTTATTAAATTAGTGGTCCATAAACTTATATTTTTAAACAGTCTATATCAAGGTAGGATCATTGTGCCAGATATTTGGTTTGGTGGTGCTTAGGTTCATACACATGTGAAGAGAGTCAACACATGTGAAGAGAGTCAATTTTATTGAATAAAGCCTAAGTCCTCTAAAAGTACTGATGAAAGCTCATATATTCAGGCATTAGATACAGTACAGCATTTGAATAATATCAAATTTTATTTTTCTACTTCTGATTTAAATTTGTATAAATTATCAATAATAAAAGCCTAGAATAGTCAATGCTACCCAGACTGCTTAATGAAGAGAATGGTAGATAGAAGGAAATGAATATTAAGCTTAAGATGACAAACGATGTCTCTAAAATTAGAAACATTATTAGAAAAAATTAATACTTTCTTTTCTGTTCATTTATTTTTTGGCAGCTGTCCGGTAAAGGGATATGAACTCTTGACCTGGCTGTTACAAGACAGCACTTTAATCAACTAAGCTAAGAGGCCAGCCCTGCAGAGATTAATATTTTCTGTCTTGTATGTAATATCTATAGAAATTGTTATAATGGAGGACAACTACTAAACAGTTAAAAATCTTATACGATATTTCATGTGTTCAGGGATGTGCTCCATTATACAGTGGAGGACTAATGCTCTTCCAGTACAACCTAAGGAAAATTCATAGTGCTAAGGTATCAAGTCTATTATGCTACCTTCTGAGTGTACAGACCATTTCCTGACTTAGTATGTAATCTATTTTAACTGAATTCAATATCTAAAGATATTACTTACCACAAGCTATATAATCTCCATTAGAAGCGAGGCCTACAAAGTTTTTTTCATTAATATGACCCTTGAAGGAACGTAGACAGTATGGTTTCCCTACATTCCACAGTTTTAGCTGGCTGTCTGTTGAGCTGAGGTAAACACAGAATTAGAACATATTTAAGATTTCATGGCATTAAACTCATTACTACTAATTAGAGGCAATCCAGTTTGGTGGTTAAAAATGCAGACTCTGGAGCCAGATGGTCTGAGTTAGAATGTTCAATCTGCCATTAATTTGCTTTGGACCTTGGGCAAGTTAGGAAAACTCACCAGCCTCAGTTTTTCATCAGTTAAATGTGAAATATAATAATTCCCACTTTATAGATTTAAATGAATCCTATGAGATATTGTGAAAATTAAATAAATTCATTTAAAATGCTTTCAATAATGCCTGGGCATATAGGAAGTGCTCAATAAACATTAGGTATCAATACCACCAAACCACCACCATAAAACAGTGAAAGAACTTTACTGGGATCTGGGCTTAATTTCAGGGATACATTTGTTCCTCTTGATTTGATTTATTTTCCAACTATTGAATTATATTAGTACACTGAATTTAAACTAGTTTTGCAGTTCAGTCATTCCTATAAGTGTGGTATTTAGTTGAAAGGCCTATACAAACTAGTTTATCTTTGCAGAAAGAATATGCAAATGTAGTTATTTACCAAAAAATAATTGAATGTAATAATCACTAGTAATCTTAACATACAAAGATAATTTTAGGACTTCAAAAAAATACCGTATTTTAATTTTTCTCTTTTTGTTGAAAAGAAAATGGATCATACTAATTATTTTGTAAACTACTTCCCCACATTGAACAACTTGTTTTACATTTTTCTCTGTAAAATAAATACATCTCTCTATTAATAACTACACAATAAATTATCTTTTCTCTTTCTCTAACATTCACTGAATAGGACACTATGTTAAAGGTTTTAATAAATCATTTTATTTAAAGATTCACAACATAAGGTAAGTACTATTAATAGCTTCATTTTAGAGATAAAAAAACTGAGGTTTAGAAGGTTAGGAACATTTCCAAGGTACCACAGCTCATAAATAGTATAGCCAAGATTTAAACTGTCTGATTTCAGAGGCCAAACTCCTAATTCTTTTAATAACTCTCCATTGCTTCTCATCATTTTTTCAACATAGTATCTATTCATAGATATCTGTTTTAATTTTTCTTTTGCTTATAAATAGTACACTGAATATTGCTTTATGTTTATATTTTAAAATATATTTTGACATTAGTTTTAATATTTCTAAATACACCTATGAATGAATTTGTTCTATATACTTTTAAGGTCCAAATCTGTCCAAGAAAAAAAATCATTATGATTTATAGAAACTAAGAAGGAAAAAGATAATTGAAAGTATATATTACACATCCACTTTAATGGGGTAAACTAAGATTTCCAATTTATGCAATTCAATTAAGTAAACACATACTTCAGTTAAGTGAAGTCAAACTAACTGATTTAACATTTATAAATCTGAAAATGAAGAAAAGTATTTTTGCCATATACTCCACCATCCATATTTGACTCTGAAAAATATTTTAATTATTTATTGCCCATTATTTTTATTCCTAAAGATGGGATACTTTTTGACTGGTTACCATTTAAATTTGTTAACTAATTATCTATATTACCTCCACTTGGAAAACTCAGTTCCCACTTTCTTCCCCCCCCCCTTTTGTAACTCAATCCAAATTACCTGTTAAATCAATTCAAATTACCCAGTTCTTATTTAGAGTAACCAGTGTAGAGGTAAATGTGGTGGGAGATGCCAAATACAGTGCACTGGCATTAATAATTTCCTGAGAGATAAGAAACTAAGTAAAAAAGAAGAAAACTATCATTAAACTTGAGAAGAAATAGTAGATATGAAAAAGACAGAAATTAAGTGAGTATTTACTAGGGTAATAAAAAATAAACAGAACTATGAAATGGATAACCAAAATATGGGACTGCCTATGTTGGTAGAAGAGCTTGGCCAATATTTTGACAATTGAGATTTATTTACCTTGCTGACATCTTATTATCTTCAAACAAAGTTAAAAAAGAACTAGAAGCTTACATAATGATTCTCTAGTTCAGAAGGTTTTATGGCCTTTATAAAAGAAAAAAAAAAGTTCTCTTCAAAATATAGAGATCAACATGTCAGTATAAAAGCCAACCAAATATTACTTAAAACCAAAAATAATTCTACAACTGTAATGCAAGTAGATAAATATACAATAATATATTAGATGGCTTTAATAAATAAAATAGTTCTTTCTATTGCATCAACTATGCTGCTTCTCTCTTCATTAGGAGAAGCAATAGCTGAAATACCATCCTAAGTTCAAATGCAATCAAACTTAGAAGTATTAGTTAACTAGTGTCTTCAGGATTTCATTCACAAACAACATATAAAAGTGAGTAATACAGACCAGAATATACATGTATTTTAATTGAACAAGATATAAAAATCTACTATTTAAGAAAAAGTACATACACTCCAATGTTATTCTTTACGTACATCACAGTGACTTTACAAACTTGTAAATGATGACAGTGCTCTGTATTAAGTTCAACCTCTGAAGAAAGTAATACTCACGCAGAGACAATTTCCTCACCACTCACAAACTTTGCATAAGAGACTGCTTTTCGGTGTCCTTTGAATACCATGATTGGTTGTTTAGTGTTACGAAGATCATAGTAGTGGACACAGTGATCTAAAACAAAACAAAACAAACAAAATGAGAAAAATATAGTAAGTGAAGAAATGGGAAATAAAACTAATTTTAACCGATTTTGGTGTTTTTCATCAAATGTTTTACAGATAATGTCAAATCTCTAACAGCCAGAAAACTATGGGGTACAAATAATTTGCAACAATAAGGAAGATATAGATTTTCTGCTTTGTTTTTAAGTCTAGGAAAACATGGTTGCATAAAAAAGTGTGTACAAACACATGCTAATATTAGTCTGAAATGAAGTTCCACTTGGCTGTTTACAGAATATAGTATTAAGGTTTCAAAATAACTAAAAATTTAAAAATCTATCTTCACATTTTAATGGCTTTATTAAAAAGGTAATATAAATATTGTGACATCTGGATAAACATAATGCTATATTATTTCCCACATTTGCTTTTTAAAAAGCACATTATTGAGACATGTTTGCATATAGTAAAAATCACCCACTCTAATTATACAATTCAATGATTTTTACTTAATTTATCCAGTAGTGCAACCATCACCATAAATCAGTTTTAGAATATTTTCCTCTCCCAATAAAATCCCTCATGCCCATTTGTCACCCACCATCCTAGGCCATCACTATTCCTATCTGTCTCTATAAATTTGCCTTTACTGGACCTTTATATAAATGAAATAATACAATATGTGGTCTCTATATATGGTTTCTTACACTTTGCATAATGGTTTTGAGGTTCATCCACATTTTAACAGGTGTCAGTAGATCATTCTTTTTTTTTTACTGCTGAATAGTATCCATTGTACTATTGATAAATAGTATCCATTGTTCTAAAACTAGTACCACATTTGTCTATCAATTCACCAGTTGATGGACATTTGTTTCCATTTTTTGGTTATCATGAATAATGCTGCTATAAACAATCACGTTCAAGTCTTTGTGTGGATATGTTATCGTGTCTCTTGGGTAGATACCTAGAAGGGTAGTTACTGGGTCATACAGTAAATACTATGTTTAATTTTTTAAGAAAGTGACAAACTGTTGACTGCACTGTTTTACATTCCCATCAATAACACATGAGGGTTCCAGTTTCTTTACATTAGTTGTTTGAAATATGTGGAGACAAGACTTTTATCAGATGTGTGTTTTGCAACTATTTTCAAACATTCTGTTTCTCATGTTTTTATTTTTATTTTTATTTTTTTTTCCTTTTTGTCTTTTTTTCGTGTCCGGCAACGGACCGCAACCACAGATGTGTGTTTTGCAACTATTTTCAAACATTCTGTTTCTCATGTTTTTATTTTTATTTTTTTTCCTTTTTGTCTTTTTTTCGTGTCCGGCAACGGACCGCAACCATCAGTGTCGCGCCCGTACCGGACCGGGACCGGCAACGGGATCGCAACCCTCGGTGCTGCGCCCGCCCCTCGCTCAGCCAGTGAGCAGGAACCAGTCTGTACGTGGGATCCGAACCCTCGGCGGGAGCACCACTGTGCTCCCAAGCGGCGCACTGTAGCAGCGCGCCACCGGGCCGGCCCTCATGTTTTTATTTTTAAAGAATAAAAGTTTTCAACTTTGATAAGGTCTAATTTATCATTTTTTTCTTTCACTGTCCTCACTTTTCATGTTATAAATAAGAAATCTTTGACTAATCAAAGGTCTTAAAGATTCTCTATTTCTAAAAGTTTTTTTTTTTTTTTTGTCTTTTTTCGTGTCCAGCAACGGATCACAACCCTCAGTGTCGCACCCGTACCGGACCGGGACCGGCAACGGGATCGCAACCCTCGGCGTCGCGCCCGCACCTCGCTCAGCCAGTGAGCGGGAACCGGTCTGTATGTGGGATCCGAACCCTCGGCGGGAGCGCCACCACACTCCCAAGCGGCGCACTGTTGCAGTGTGCCACCGGGCCGGCCCAAAAGTTTTGTTGTTTTAGTTACTGCATTTAGTCTGTGATCAAATTTAAGTTAATATTTGTATATGTTATGAATGGTCTAAGTGCACCTTTTTGCATGTTATAACCAGTTGTCCCAGCACCATTTGTTGAACAGACTATACTTTCCCCAGTGAATTAATTGCCTTGGCACTTTTGCTGACAATGAACTGACTATAAATAAAGATTTACTTCTGGATTCTTAATTCTAATAAAATTATGTATATACGAGGGACTTCAAAAAGTTAAAGGAAAGATTCATATCATCTTATAATCAATCTTTCCGTGAAGTTTTTGAGGTACCAGTACAATACTGTCTTGATAACTCTAGCTTTACAAATTTTTAGATTGGGACGAAAAAGTCCTCTAACTTGGTTGCTCTTTTTCAAAATTGTTTTGGCTATTTCTGGTCTTTTGCATTTCGACATACATTTTGGGATCAGCTTACCGTTCCTGCAAGAAAGCCTACTGGAATTTTTACAAGGATTCAGTTGGATCCATAGATCATTTTGGGAAGAACTGCCACATTAACAATACTGAGTCTGCCAATCTATGATTATAGAATATCTCATTTGTTTATATCTTTTAAAATTTTTCCTCAGAAAACTTTAGCATTTTTCAGCGTACAAGTCTTGCACTTATTTTATTACATTTCTTCCTTAAGTATTTTATCTTAAAGACTAATCAAGTACAGTAGTGAGAAGTGGGTAAAGAGTAGAACAAGGAGTTCTATCTGTAACTGACTGAGAACAATCAACTGAGATAATTCACTGCCTTTGGACCACCCAAGAATCATATTCTTAATTTTATTTTTGGATTTTTCATTGCTCATATCTAGAAATAATTAATTTTTGTACACTGATCTTTTATTCAGTGACCCTGCTGAACACTTTTATAAGGTCCAATAATTCCTTAAAATTAGTTTCTTAAAATTTTCAACATGCATGATGAGGTCATCTGCATAGAAAGACAGTTTAATTTTTCCTTTCAAATCTAGATGTCTTTTACTTCCTTTTCTTGCCTGAGTGCACTGGCTAGAACCTCCTCCAATACTCTGTTAAATTGAAGGGGCAAGAGCAAACATCTTTGGTGTGTTCTTGATCTTAAGGGAAAAACATTAGGCCTCTTACCAGTAAGTATGATGCTCACTGCTGGTTTTCTGTAGAAGCACTTTATCAGGTTGAGGAAATTCCCTTCCATGCCAAGTTATTAAGTTTTCTTTAATCATCAGTGGGTGTGGGATTTCATCAAATGCCTTTTCTATGTCTATGATAGTGAGGTTCTGTGGTTCTATTCCTCATTGTACTAATATGATGTATTACATCAATTAATTTTTGGATGTTAAATCTGGTACTTCTGGGATAAACCCCATATTGTCATACTGTATGATCTTTTTAATGTGTTGTTGGATTTGGTTTGCTGAAATTTTGTTGAGAAAATTTTCACCTATTTTCTTGAAGAATACTGGTCTATGTTTTTCCATTCATGTGATATCTTTGGTTTTGGTTTCAGGGAAGAGTCTGTAATGTACTGGTATTATTTCTGTTTTAAGCATCTGATAGCATTCACCAGTGAAGCCAGATGGGGCTCAGTTTTTCTCTGTGTGAAGGTTATTAATTACTAATACAGATTGTTTACTCTTCATAGGTCTATTCAGGTTTTCTATTTCATCCTATGTCAGTTTTGGTCATTTTAACTTTCTAGGAATTTTTCATTTTATCTGTTATTAAATAAGTTGGCATAAAGTTGTTCATAGTATTCCCCTATAACTCTTTTGATTTCTGACAGGTCAGTGGTAATATATGCCCTGTCATTCTTAATTTTAGCAATCATCTCTGTCTTCTTTTCCTCTTGGTTAGTCTAGCTAAAGGTTTATCAATTTTGTTGATCTTTTCAAAGAATCAACTTTCAGTTTTACAAATTTTTTATCATCTTTCTGTTTGCAATTCCATTAATTTCTACTCTAATCTTTAATATTTCCTTTCTTCTGCTTGTCTTTGGTCTGGTTTGTGATTTTTCTAGATTTTTATGGTAAGAGCTTAGATTATTGAGATTTTTCTTCTTGTTAAATATAGGCACTTAAGTATATACAATTCTCGATAAGCTGCCACCACAAATATTGATATAACGTGTTTCCATTTTCATTCAGTTCAAAACACTTTTAAATTAATTTCCCATGTAATTTCTTCTTTGACAGATTGATTATATAGAAATGTGTGGTATAATTTCAAAATATTTGTGAATTTCCTAAATTAACCATCATTTTTAGTTTCTAATTTAATTTAATTTTGGTCAGAGAACATGCTTCATAATACTTCAGTCCTTTTAAACTTATTAAGACTCATTTTATGGCCTAACACATATGGTCTACCTTGGAGATTCTTCTATATATACGTGAGAAAAATGAAATGTGTATTCTCCTGTTGCTGGGTGTTCTATACATGTCTGGTAGGTCAGGTTGAAAATGTTATTCAAGTCATCTATATCCTAGCTGATTTTCTCTCCTGTTGTTCTATCAATTACTGAGAGTGAAGTATTTCAGCCTCCATCTGCTTTATTTATTTACTTACTTACTTACTTACTTACTTACTTACTTTTACTTACTTACTTACTTACTTACTTACTCACTCACTCATTCATTCCTGGTGGCTGGCCAGTACAGGGGTTGAACCCTGGACCCTAGTGTTATCAGCACCATACTCTAACCAACTGAGCTAACCTGCCAGCCCTTCTGACAACTTTTATTGAATTAGCTATTTCTCCCTTCAATTCTGTCAATTTTAGTTTCATGTATCTCAAAACAGTTTCAGATTTTAGGTATGTTTATAATTGTTATGAGGGGTATTCAAAAAGCTCGTGGAAAATGTACATTACAAAAAAACTATGCATGGACTGCAAAATTTTTCTGCACCAAAATAAACTCACTAGCTTGCTGTAACATGTCTGAACAGGATCCAGTTTGAGGCACTAAGGAAGATAAGATGCCAATTTGAAAGAAGCCCCTATCAGAGCAACATGAATTCTGCTAAAACTTCAGCAAGAACTAACATCAAATTTATGGTGAAGCTTGGGAAGAAGAAAGGTGATGTT